CCTTTACACAGTGACTGTGACCATATTAAGTTAAATAAACACTGTTCAGTAGAACTGATAGATATTTCTTAAAAGTAGGAATCTTGATTGACTAGAAATGAGTGTGTTCTGCAATAGTTTGGCATTTATATAAAACAGAACAGTAGAAACCATAGTAGCTTACTTGCGTTTCGAGCTAAAAGTAAGATTGGCCCTGCTGTGCTTGTTGTCAAAGAGAAGTCAGTCTTCTCCATAAACTGACGTCACAATAAGAATGGAAGAAATATGGTATGATATTTCTTTTAGAGATGAAGACTTTCAACACACAAAGATCAAGGCTTTCTGTAAAGGTCAAGAGAAAGTTTGAAATATTGCTAAGCATCTCATCCCAGGTTGCTGGAATCCCAGGCCGATGTTTTAATCAGTCCTCACTTTCCTATCTTGCTACATTCAGTATATGGGGTTCTGCTTGTGCAGATCTTGGGCGCTTGTCAGAACAAATCTTCACATTTTCCTCAGGAAGGATTGTTCTTCCTCTGTAAAAATTATCTGAAGGAAACTTCGGAGTTGCTTTTCTGGACATGGAAACAAAGGCACAAGAATAGGAGAAGTAGCACCTGCCTATTAGCTACTGAGATGATAGAAAGTGTAGGCTTCATATCAGTAAGAAAGTTAGTATGGAAAATCAGCTTTCTATTCATTAAAGTATTCCTTGTTTCTTTGACCAGAGAATGTATTTTTTTAAGATCGTTTATTAGTCATATTTTAGATGACATTATATTGTTCTAGATTTTTTTAGGAGTAAATTCAGTAATTAGCAGCTTCAGCCAGAAGAGATTTAAATTATTTATTTGAAAATAATACTTTATTTGAAATAATTCTTTATTCTTTATATCTGACAAAGGATGAAGATTTATGAGAGCAAATGTTGTTTGGAAAAGGTGGAAAAACTTATCAAATCAGACCTTGAAACTAAATTAAGCCACTCCCTTTAACTTCTTTTGGAAGTTTTACATATATCTGGAGGTTTCATTGGTATGAATGTTTTTCAGTCCCAGAATCTGATAGCTTGATAATTTATGAATCTTCTTGTTTGTTTTTATTCCTTTATGAGTCAAAGAGAGCAAACTCTGCATTCCTTTACCGTCCTGCTTGCAAGTCTAAGCTAAAGTGGTGACCTTAAGTAAAATCTCACACTTCAGATATTTGACCAAGTGGTCTAGGGTCAGCAAAGAATGACTTGCTTTTGTTTATTTGGGGAAGATGAATGAAAAGGAAGCAGTTGGTTTTCCTTGAGGCTTGAGATTGTCTGGCTCTGCAGACAGACAGATGGACCATACTCTGCAGTGTATGTAACTCTATTATATGCCTGACTGCATCTTATACTGAAGATGAAACAGATTATCAAAGTTGAGGTAGAGAAAATAAATAATTTCTTTACAGGTCAGAGGGACTATCGTGTGTTCACTTGCAAGTTCTTGTAATCATTTTATTGCCTTTTTAGTAGTCTTTAGGTAGTGAAGCCATTTGTGCTCTATTGTTCCTGGTCCATAAATCTCTTTAGAGCTAAAAAGTCTAACACAGTACACTGGGTTCAATAGAAGGGTAATTGGATCATATTTAATGTGGTTTTAATGTGCTCTGGTATACAGGATATCAGGATACAGGATATCAGACCATAGATCTAATGTTTAGTGGTCTCAAATGTTGTGAAAATGTAAAACCCCTCCTCTCCCTTCAGCCTTGTCAAGGAAAATCTTAATTCTAAAACCACAGAAAGGGAGAGCAATCTGCCTCTTGTACTGTCATCAGAATTGCTAACCAGGGAGCGTTTGAGGTCTTTATTACTGCTGAAAAGGCAAAACCAACACCGTTATTTTCCAGGTACAATAGTGGGCTGGTGTTCTTAGAAAAAATGCAGTTTTATTCACTTCTAAATCTTTCAAATCTGATCTGAAGTCCTTTAAGAGGGGACTTCATGTTATTTATTTATTTATGTATTTATTTTTGTGGAGTTGATTTTAAGATTGCAAGTGTGTATTGAAGGAAGTATGAAATATGTTCTAAATGAAGTATGAAATATGTTCACGGACCCTGTGGCAGCTCAGGACAATATTCACTTTCATTCCAGTTTTGCAGCACAAATGCCTATCAGGGAATTTCAGGTGCCTTTGGAAGGACAGTCTAGGAAAAAGATATAGTTCTTATTGTTCTTCTGTATTTGAGAACACCAAACTGATCAACGGCATGAAAGTTATGATTCAACTGTCTATAAAGCTGGAAGTGGGTTACCTGACTTTATCCAGTTTCTGTAGTGCCATTTGTGAGTCACAGGTGCAGGTGATGCAGTTTTAAGCAAGAGCGATAGAGTCTTGTTCAGCTTTGGGAATTAAAGCCAAAGAGAAAGACAAAAGTGAAAGAAAATCTGCTTTCTCAGTAGTGGAGAATAAGATGAGCCTTAGATTGTAAAGGAGAGAAGTCTATTAGTGTCAGAAAATGCTTATTACTTGTTACTACATATGGCCAACTGGTACATGTAGACTATTATTTTTTTTCTTAGAAAAACAAACCAAATAAATAGAAAAAATCAACAGAAATGAATCATGAAGTTAGTATAGAAAAGCACTGTTTGCATCTAAAGTTTGCTTTTCATTAATTATTCTAGTAAAAGATTTTATTTATAATGATGACTTTTTAAAAGTATTGGCTGGCTTTATAAAAACAATCAATAGACATCTGGTCATAGACCAAAGAAATTGTTAACAGGAATTACAGCGTTTCAGCAGAGTTATTTGTCACTGATCTTAATAACAATTACTGTTAACGTTGGCTTTGGGAAAGTAAAAATATGACTTGTTTCATGATTAGACTGAGAAGTAATCAGTATTGCTTATATTTTCTGTTAATAACAGTTCTTTCCAAAGCTTTGATCCTGGTGGCTATACGTATTATTATTATTGTAACAGTCTCTGTGATATTGAGAATATTACTTTCCGTCTTAATTTATTTGCTGATTTCTCAGAAACAACTTCTGTCTTACAGTTGGCTAATATGAGTGGATAGATACAAGACATACTTTATATTCTAAGCTCTTTAAGAACATGAATTAAGCACCAAGTGGAACTTCAGCTGGGAGATTATAGACAGTGATTCATGGTGTGCCTATAGATAAGGGGGTGTCCAGGTGAACTGTAATGAGAAGAGTGGAAATTGGTTTAGGAGATCATAGGTTTCTTCTGACAGAAAGTGAGATGATGTTATGACTCACGTGGGAAGAGGCATGGGAAGCAGAGATGCTGGACACTCGCAGGGGAGGGGAGGCTAGTATTCAGGGTCTCTTCATGGGAAGAGAAGGGTTCCACAGTTTGGTCCAAGGGCAAAGATTTCTAATCTGTCCTAACACTTTGTTATTAATAATTATAAATTATATATTTTTTTCTACACAGATATACCTATGCATGTTTCATAGTTTTGGAGATGAAATATCTTTTTCAAACATAGTTGCTGCTGTTTAATGCTAAAGATAGTGGAGTTTTGGAATAGTGAGTTACAAACACAGATAGGCACAGTGTAACTGTATTGTGTTCATCAACCAAGGAGCAATATTGTACCTGTAATCAAGAGTATTTCCAAGAGAAGAAGCAGAAATCCCAGGTTTTATGCCCACTGGTTGTAGTCAGTTTTAGTAAAATGATCCTTTTTCACCCTGTAGAGCTGTACTGTGAGCTGTTCATCTCCAAAGTGGCTGAAGAGAGCACAAGAAGTCTTTTTTTTAATTGCTAGGTTTTGGACCTTAAGAGGTATGCTATGCTAGAATGACTATGTCCCTATATGCCTCTCATTCTCACTCATTTTCTTCTTTCCTAGCATTCCCCATTCCTTTCCTTCTGCCTCTACAGTACCTGGCATTTTCCTGGTGTTGCCGGAAGATATTGGCTTTGCTCTGTTATCTCAGCATTGAGTATTTGTTTGACCTCAAAAAAAAAAAAAAAAAGCTTGTAAGTAAACTAGCCTTTGATAAAAGCTGTTTTCAGACTTTTTCATCTGTTCACTGGGAAAGTGGTAACCTATTGGTAATGTCAGCTCATGATGTCACTGTAGCACTAGATAAATATATGAGTAACCACTCTTTGATAATAATTTAGTGGGGCCAGTTGTTTCTTTGACTTTTGTTGCTTTGCCCCTCCCTTTTGGGTACAGTCCCTGCTTTGCTATTTCGTGTTTCCTGACATCTCTTTTGAAACAGCTCTGTTGACAGCTGCTTGCTTGTTGCTATACAGAGTTGTTATGTTCTGCTTCTTAAAGCTATAGCTCTGGCTTAAGTTTTCACTAGAATCCCAGTAAAAGCTGCTGGGAATGTCCACTTCGAAGACTCCCAAATGTTTACTTTTCAGAGTAAAGACAAAAGTGTGTCTCTAACGTAATTCATCTAGCTCATCATTGCTAGAGGTTTTTCTTTTAACATTTTGTTCACTAATCACTTGAAATAGATGTTTCAGTACAAAATGTTTCTTAGATGTCAATCAATGCTCCATGAGTTCTAGTTCCCTCAGTCAGCATTTCTGTCAGCCTTATTAGAAACTGGAGCCCTAAACACAAATGGAACTTAGTTTTGCTATAAATTATACAAATACATTTGGTGAGCTTACAAATCATTCCTTCTGCTGCTTTATGACATGATCATTTTTTAAAATGGATAGTGTTTGACCTCATCTCCTCTTTTTATTTTTATTTTATTTATTTTTTTTTTTTAGGAAAGAGCATCTGGGCTGTTGTACAGATTTTAAAAACAAAGCTAAAACTGGGCTGAATGCCCAGAGAAACCAGCTCAAATAAAACTGGTGCAAAATGAACAATTCCAAATAGGAAGAGCTATAGAGAAGGGAGAAATGATGTAGGTAAAAATGCCTAAAGGTTTACAGATTGGGATAGAAAGATTTTACACTGAGCAAGTTGCATCAGACACATCTGTACATCAGACATCTGCACATCTGCATCTGTACATCAGACACCTCCAGAGAGAGATTCCAAAAGTTGCCTCCACAAAGGGATGCTGTTAGTTTAGGTATCAGTATTCTAATCTCTCCCTCGAGTCAGATTTAATTGGAGGAAGAAAAATTTCAGACAAACTCTTGCTGTTCAGAAGGACCTAAACAGGTTGAGAATTGGGCAGAAAGGAATCTGGTTCAACAAGGACAAGTACAGGGAGCTGCAACTGGGGAGGAATAACCGCAGGCACCAGTACAGATTAGGGGTTGATCTGCTGGAAAGCAGCTCCACGGAGAGCGATTTGGGAGTCCTGGTTGACAACAAGTTAACCATGAGTCAGCAAAGTGCCCTCCTGGCTGAGAAGGCCAATGGGATCCTGACCTGCATCAGGAGGAGCGTTGTCAACAGGTGGAGGGAGGGGATCCTGCCCCTCTACTCAGCTCTGGTGAGGCCGCACCTGGAGTATTGGGTGCAGTTCTGGGCTCCCCAGTACAAGAGAGACATGGAACTTCTTGAGAGGGTCCAGCGCAGAGTGACATGAGAGGGGATCTTATCAACATGTACAACTATCTGAGGGGAGAACGTAAAGAGGATCAGGTCAATCTCTTCTTGGTGGTGGCCAGTTACACACACACAAAAAAAGGGGTTTTGAATGCGTACAACTGGAAACACAGGAAGTTTAATCTCCGTGTGAGAAAGAACTTCTTTACTGTGAGGGTGACAGAGCCCTGGAACAGGCTGCCCAGAGAGGTTGTGGAGTCTCTTTCTCTGGGGATCTTCCAAACCCGCCTGGATGCCACCCTGTGCCACGTGCTCTAGGTGTCCCTGCTGGAACAGTGAGGTTGGGCTAGATATCTCTAGAGGTCCCTTCCAACCTCAGCCATTCTTTGTCATTCTGTGATTTTCTTTCCTTCTTATAATTCCCCCTTTCCATCAATTTCTTATAATTTACTTCATTATTACAGTAATCTTAACCTTATTCTATATTTGAAACTGCATTTCAGTAACTAAAGTGATGAGTTGATCTTTTTTACTGAACTTTCTCCTAGCCCAAAACTTATTATTTCCATTGCCACTCATCAAGTTATATTTAGACTGGAGAGTGTTTATTGCCTTCAGTTCTGTTTCATCTGTCCCATGCTATATATATGTATAGGACAGTAAGGGCACTTTTCAAAAAGTATACCTTGACACACTGTAGTTGCTGTTCTCCTGTATGTCTGTACAATGCACAGTGATCTTTGTCTGACCTAGTATTCTTTTATTTCCAGCTTGGAATAAGTGGGAACATACAATAATTTGTATTATTATTTCCACTAACTCGGTTGACATCTATTTGTACATAAGAGGTAGAAATTTTTTTTTTTTGAAGTGGCACAAAAATGAATCATAAAACAAACAAACCAAAAATCTTTGTTTTCTGCTAGATCTGTTTTATACAGCAGGCACACATCATTAATCAACTGGATGCATATGTGCTGCATGTTCAGGTGCTGGCAACTGTGGCCTTAGCCCTGGACAATGTTTAAGCATGTCCTTAACTCTGTGCAGATGCTTAGCTCCTATCTGCTACAGTGGAAAGTAATTGCATCTGCTTCTCAAGAAGTCTCTCTTCCACTGAAGTTAAGGCAAGGTTTCCTTTGACTCCAAAAGGGCCTTGGTCAGGCTTCAATTTCTTGATATTATTAATAATTGATACTCATAATTAAATAATAATGATAATAATTTGTTTGAGATGAAATCTTTAAACAGTCTGTAATTATTTGTCTTATATTTGTCCTAATGCCTTGGTCTTTATTTTGTTAACTTCCACATCTTCAGGGACTTTCCCTGCTACGTTTAAAGTAATCATTCATGGAGGCATTTAAATTGGTGCTTAGCTTCCCCTTACTTCAAGTGCTTAATTTAGACATGATGAAGATCCCTTTAGGGGATTTTGGTAAGTACTTACGTGTCCTCTGAGACTGAGGGAAGTGCTGTGTACACATGGCACATTTACTTCACTTTAGATAAATATTAGCCCCTCAACAGAATCAAGCTTTTCTGGAGAAAATGTCATGTTCTAAAGAAAATGCTTTCTTTTAAATGTACTATGTTTTGTTTATTTGTAAATACAGTGTTTCAGTACCATATTTTTTATTATTTATCTATCTAACAAATCTGGATCTGTTGAGAAGACACCAACAAATTGTAATTTAAAAAATAAGGTAAATACAATTGGAATAATATTAGAATTGTAAATGTCAAAAACTGCTATGTTTGATAAAATGTTTATTTTCCTCAAAAAAGCAAATGTATCAAAATGTCGTATGGAGGAAATGATTTGGGTGCATATTCTTGGTCTTCAAGCACATAACATTTCTGTTCCAGCATTGAAGGTGGTAAAACTCACAGAATCCCAGAATGGTTGAGGTTGGAAGGGACCTCTAGAGATCATCTAGTCCAACCCCCCTGCTCCAGCAGGGACGCCTAGAGCACATGGCACAGGATGGCATCGAGGCGGATTTGAAGATCTCCAAAGAAGGAGACTCCATAACCTCTTTGGGCAGCCTGTTCCAGGGCTCTGTCACCCTCACAGTAAAGAAGCTCCTCCTCATACGGAGATTAAACTTCCTGTGTTTCAATTTACACCCATTAACCCCTTGTCCTGTCACCGGCCACCACGGAGAAGAATCTGGCCCCATCCTCCCTATAATCACCCCTCAGGTACTTGAACATGTTGATCAAATCTCCTCTCAGCCTTCTCTTCTCCAGACTAAACAGGCCCAGCTCACTTAGTCTGTCCTCATATAATAGATGCTCCAGTCCCTTAATCATCTTCGTGAACCTATACTGGACCCTCTCTAGAAGCTCAATGTCCCTCTTGTACTGAGCAGTCCAGAACTGCACACAATACTCCAGGCTCTTTTGCTAATTGTTTTTGAAAGGCTGTCTTTATAACCTTACCATGCATTACCCTTTCTCAGGAGTTTGTGATTTCTTTTCAATTTTCCTCCTCAATATATTTTACAGTAACTTGATGCTGAAATTACAAAATTTTAAGGCTCCAAAGGGTGCACAAATGAACTGTGTTTCACAAGGGGCCTTCCTAGCTTGCAGAATTGAGTTGCACCATGTGTGAAGTAACTGGGACCACTAGAGAGAGCTCTCGTAACAAAACACTGCTCCCCCACGAAGATCTGTGTAGTCACAGCATTTTATCGAGTTCCAGGAAGACCTTACCGCCTACCTGCAGCCAGATCCCAAGCTATATATAGTTATGCGCAAGGCTTGATCCTGAATTGGCATAAAAGAGACAAGAAGATTATAGACCCATGACCTATTAGCAGTGTGGATTTATGAAGTGAAAACGATGCAGTACAAATGTTGATTATTTTTTGTGGAAGAGATTCAAAAACAATTAAGAAAGGAAAGAGAGTATCATCTGGGTTTTGGTATAACATTCAATACAACATCTGACAAAATCTTACTCGCAAAATGCGTTCAAATTGGCTTGGATTGAAAATTGGCAGATGGACCGCAAATAAAAGATAATAATAAACAGAAACACATTGAGCTGTATAAACTAACTATTGGGGTGCCACGGGGCTCAGTTTAAAGTGTTGTCTTCTTCAAAATACACAAAAGTGATATGGTATTGTAACACAAGCATGATAATGAAATTCACAGATCATGCTAATTGCAGGTTGTGCCAACAGCAATGAGGACAGAGAAAAAATACAGAGGGTCCTAGAAAAAATAGAAACATGGGCCGAGAATAACAAAATGAGAGTCAACTTGGAATACTGCAAATACATCTGCGGAAAATATAATTCAAAACAGACACACAACAAGAAGGACAAATCTGGAAAGCAGTGATGTTGAAGTGTACCTGAGGTGCTACAGAATGATAAGAGAGCCAATGCATGACCTTGCAGTATAAAATAAGAGAGCCCATGGGATTTGGGTAGTCAGTACAAAATGTCTCTTCCTCATAAAGCTGAAGGGACAGTATCTGGATTATTTTGGTTATTGCTAGACATTTCACAATCACAAGATGCAAAGTAGAAGCTTGATATTGAAGGGGGCTCTAAGGTGGGCAATCTATAAGTTGTATCTAGTCTATTAAAATTATCTATTTCCTTTATATTCCAGAGAGAAAAAAAGACAGATGAGACAAAAGGTAGGTGACCTATAGCACCGTTCATCCTACTTACCTTAAAAGTCTACCCTGAACATGTTTCTCTCTGTAAGTGTAGAACTTGAACTCTGGAAGAACGAGCTGCCTAACTTTGGATAGAGTATAGCTAAATGTGAGTCAGTCTGCCCACTCCAGTCAGTAAGTAAGTATTGTTCTGTTTTTCCATTGCTGCATAAAAACCAGAAACAATTCAGGCAGAAACTGTTTTGCATTGTATCTCTCTTCTCCCACCTGAACACTGTAATCTGAAGGCACCTCATATTTCAGATCCTGTTGACCGCTTAACTCTTGTACTCTTAGGTGTCCAGCAGTTTAGGGCAGGAGGTTGCTAATCTGCCTGAAGTCAACCAAATGGCAATCAAACTGCTTTTTGGCTTCATGGCTATCTTTAGATGTAATGAATACAAAAGTGAATCCAGTCAAGTGAACGAGGTTGTAGAATCTAGGTCTCCGTTTTCAGTGCATCTTCTGCAGCCCTAGGCATGAGCAGGGGTGTACACAAACATACCTGTGGGTCCAATGTCCTAAGAGGCCATAAAGGGGCCCCTGTGCAACCCTAACCTCATTCAGAGTGGAAGTCAGTCCTGTGAGGCACACTGAGACAAACTGACTGATGTTTCGGTTCTTGTAAGCTAAATTCCAGGTAAATATTAGATATTAGGTACCAAAAAGCCATTAAATCTGCATCCTGTAAGGACTGGGCCATGATGCAGTCATTTGGGCATCCAATGGGGCAGACGCGCAAACAAAAGGCACACAATGGTCGCATTAAGACTTTTATTACCTCCTCTTCTGCATGGGGTGGGAGGAAGAGTTTGCCGGTGGGAGGAAGAGAATGATGGGAAGATTCCAGGTGCCAGTGGGGAGTGGTAGGGGAACCAACCAACTCCTCTGAATAGACCATGAGTATCTCTCCTATCCCCACAACCTGGGACACCGGGCTAAGGTAACTCCTTGCAAGGCTGAGAACCTTGGCACACTCAGGGTGAAGAAACACTATAGCATTTTGCTGGGACAAGAAGTGAACTTCATTTAGTTGTGATAATTGCCAGTTGCTATTTGCTAATTAATAAGCCCATCCCTATAATGGTTGTGTCAAGTTGATGTTGTTATCACAAAGATCTTGTGCTGGTGAATAAAAACAATTAATTGAAGACCAGTGATTTTTGTGCTCCTGGTCTATTTTACTGTCTTCTTTAGTGAGATAGCACAATACTCTTCTTGATGGATTCCCAAATGCTTCTGCAGTATGATCATTATTTATTGTTGTTATTATTTTTAATTTGCCTATATGTATATTGATCCACCCCAATCGCTTATAACTAACGATCAAGGGGAAAACAATTTTCCTTGTTAGTAAAGCCTTTTCTTGAGTCGAATATTTTTTATTTTGAATTTATGGCTATCCTAGACATAAAGGTTGATTTCTTAATCAAAATTGGTTCCATTCAAGTTAGCCAAAAGTAAGTCAAAACTGTGATGTAAACAGCTCTTTTGCCAGATCTGAAGTATAATACTGGTATTCTTTAAAAATAATTTAAAAAATAAGTTTCCTGAATGGGAAACTTTCAGTTTAAACTTTAAATATGACAAATATTAAAATTTTCAGTTTGAGAATGTGCAAACTCTTGAACTTCCCAACCCTGAAAATGATGGACAGCAAACACACAGAGTATGTGAATTCATTTGCAAATGTTATTTGTGAATTTTGTGTATTTCTTTCCTTCTAACACTTCCATTCATGTACCTTTTTCAATCTGATAGAGGGTAGCCAAACCAGAAATTCTCAGCAAAATTTATTAGAACATGCTTCCTCTTTAAGGTTTTTTTTTTTTAAAGAAATACTTCAAGTATTCTTGCATAACAGATATTTTTAGACTCTGTACTGCTTACTGATTTAGAGACTAACTATGTAGTGCTGAGAGATGAATATTGAATAGCTTGCCTAAAATTATTCCTTTTAGAAATTGGTCTAAATAGAAATCTTGCCACGTGCTTTTTTTACTTTCCTTGTGTTCTTTTCTGCTATTTTTTTTTCTGATCTCAGATGCCATTTTGGATCTTCTTTCTGTTACACACAAAAGCATAAGAAAAAAAGGTGTGTATTAAGACGAAATTACTGGTAAGAATTATAAAGTTTCTGGAAAAGAAAAAAAATCTCAATGCTCTAAATTAGTTTTATTAAGAAATCCATTCCAGTAAAGAGCTGCCTCCCACACATTCCTGAAAAGAAAAATATCCCCATAAACGGATGATTGTTTTTTTACTACAAAATGAAAAAAGGATGCTTATTCTTCAAAACTGAGAGGACTTGCATGGTCCTAAGTGTAATAAGGAGTTCATATATAAGACCAAAGATCATGTTCCTTTTTTTTTTCTTCTCACCCTAATCTCACCATTAGAATCAACGCTCTCATTAGGTGAGTTTTGACTCTTAATATTTTCTACTTTAACTTTTCCAGTTTTCCAGTTAGTATGATTTTCACTTCTAGTGAAAATGTAGAACAGTGACATCACCCTGAAATCTACTTGAAAATTGACACTGTGCCTGAGTACCCAGTTGACTAAAACACATGGTCTGTTTTGATCAAGATTTTCCTTTTCATTAGTGAAAATATTAGCATATTTGTCTCTGGGCACAGAGGACTAAAAAGGATTCAAATCATCATAACATTGACAATGAGGCTGGCATCCAATGACTTTCTTGGAGAACAGACAAACTATAGATTCACAGAATGACAGAACTATTGATTGGCAGTTACCTAGCCCAACCCTCTGCTTGAAACAGGACTGTTGCTGACATTAGATCAAAGCTGCCATAGCCTTGAAAACCTCCAATATTAGAGAGTCCATCACTTTCCTGGGCAACTACCTCTAGTGAATATTTTTCCTAGACATTTTGAACATTGGGCCTTTGTACATTGGACATTTTCCAAATATCCAACCTGAACCTTCTAAAGAACCATTTGTAGTCACTGTGCATTGCCATATCTGGCCATCATGAGGGAAATTTGATTTCTTCATCTCTGTAATCCCAATCAACTCACTAGAGTAAAACCCAGCTCTCAACTTCCCAGGATCACATGCTCCAAGTTGCCCATGGATAAGCTGAATGATACGAGGCCTTACATTAGCTGCTAGGTTCTGTGCTTGTTGCTGATCAGTTAGATATTGAGCCATTGGTCTAGTGCATTTTCAATCCACATAACGATACGCTCTTCTATCCCATTCCTCATTAGCTTTTAGACAACTTGGCTGTGGGACATAATGTGGAAAGCTTTACTAGAGGCAAGCTCGTTGCATCCTTTGCTCTCCAGTTTGTCATGTCCTTTGCTCTTCAGTTTGTCTATAATCTACTAATTTCACTTCCAGGAGGACAAGCAGAATTTAAGGATATGTTTTATCTTGAGGAAACTGAAGAAATTCATTTGTTGCACTTTATGTAATGAACATGATTTCTCTTGAAAGTGTTTGCACTTTATTTTAAAGATACATTATCCGCTCTCACTGCTGTGGTCTATTGCTTTGCTTTTCCACTGCTATCTCCTTCAACTTTATGCATGTTGGATTGGATAAAACCATATGACAATATCTGGTAATGAATATGCAATAATCTTTCTTTTTCAGTAGTGGCTAGAGGTTTTCACATTAACTTCAATTAAAATGACAAACAACCAAGCAGCAACTTCAGCACTATGCAAACTGAAAGCAATGGATTTCAGCTCCAGTTC